AACCCTTCTCAATCAACAAACGTTCTTTCACTATCAACTTAATCTTTTTGACCTTGCACCAACTATTGCTGAGGACTACCAATTATTCTTATTCTATGAAATTTTAAGATAAGGATTTTTCTAAAAGAGCTAAATATATCTCCATCAATTCATCACATTTCACCTTGAAGTTATTTATCTATAACCTATATATGAACACTTGACCAATGCTTAACAAATGAAGCCTAAAACAAAGCTAGCAGCCAAATTCACATTCATTTTCAGCTTTTAGTGTGACTACGTTCAACATGAATAAAACTGAATGGAACTAGCTGACATACTACTTAGCACCGCATGGCCAATTTTGATATGCTCTAAAACAGGGGAAGGAAAAAGTTTGCACCTCAAGGTACAAATTACCATTATTCAGCTGAATTTTCAACATCAAAAGCTAGGAATGGAAACAGGTTATAGAAACAGACCTACTTTAATTACAAGGTTATTATCAGAATAAGGGAACTAAACAAAATCCCGTATTGATTAACGAAGCAAATAATGGTGTCCTTCCAAATTCAACAATTTCAGATATTAATGGTCAGTTAAGAAATACAGATATTAAGCTACTAGCGTTTTTGGCATCCATTCAGACATAATTAGCAAGTAACAAGACACGACGAGCATAGAACTGGGCAACATTTATGAGAAACCGCCTCTCTTAGCCCATGTAATCATTAATTTCTTGTAACACACAGCATACGGATTGGAACAAATATAAGGGCCAAAATTTTCATATATATGTGATGGATCAACACGGTAATCATGTCCTCGTTCGTTCACCTCAACTCACCTCATGTTTTCCAACCCCTCTCTCGTCAGGGGAAGGAAGGAAACAAAGTAGCCGGACCACAAACACATCGGGAAACAAAATCGCGAAGGGAAAAAAAAATGGGCAAAACTTTATCACGAAAGCGACGTGACGACTCGCCTCCGCCTCAGTCGAGGAAGCCAGTGCGGCGAAGGACGGCGTTGCGGACGCGGCGGAGGTCGCGGCCCTTGAGCGTCCTCCCGGCGCCCTCCAGCACCGAGCTGTGCGCGGCCGCGCGGCGCGCGACGATCTCGTGCGGGGGCACCACGGCCTCCCCGGAGTCCTCCGCGCTGCCGCCGGCGTGGGCCCACCTCCCCCTCCGCGCGGGCTCCGACGGTATCCGCACCGGTGCCGACCTCGCCATCGCGGCCGCCGCCGCGGCGGTCTCCGGGACGGGGCGCGCGGCGGATCGGGCGGGGCCCCCGACCCCGCCCCCGCCACCGGCCACGGCGCGCTTCTTCTTCTTGCCCTCGTCCTCCGGGAGCGCGGCGAGGAGTCCGAGCCCTACCGCGGACGGGGTGCCCGGCCAGAGCACGTCGAGCTCGAGGAGGTCGCCGTCGGCGCCCGTCGCGGTGTGGGTCGGGACCGGGAGGGGTGGGCGGGACGACAGCAGGAGGCGGTCCATCGCGTCTGCTTCTGCTCCGGGGATCACCAGTGCGGCGGATCTCCGGCGACGCGGCGTCGCTCCGGCATGGGAGGTGGAGGCGGGCTGGGCGTGCGCGAGCGAGGGACACGCAACACCGGCGAGGGGAGGCGGGCGCCGTGGCGGACCGGGTGCTTTGGGCTTATAGGGAGGGCAAGTTGTTTTCCGCTGTTTTGCACCTTGGCCCTTTACCTTCTGCGGAATCAAATTCTCGTACCGCGGCTGCTTCGGCCTTTTTGACCAAAACTGTATTGTGGACTGTGGTGGTGCATGGGCTGAAAACGGTTTGGCCCACAGGGTTGTCGGCAAGAGAGGCCCATTTAAAGATTTACGCTACGGGACTGCCCAGTGCCCAGTCAAACAACGGATCGAAGGAAAGTAGTAGGAGCCCTAACGAATTCAACGAGTCGAGCGGAGCGAAAACAGGAAGAAATCAGTTTAAATTCATGCAAATGATGATCTACTAGCATGCTAGTTTGTTTCATTTATCCTAGGGGTAATCGCGTCGTGATGGGCATCTGCTTCAGCAGCAGACGACGCGCCACGTCGCCGCCGACGCCGTCATGGTCGTCGGACCTCCCACCAGAGCTGGCCGGCGTCGTGCTCCGATGGCTGCCGTCGCACGCCGACCGCGTCCGCTTCGCCGCCGTCTGCCGGCACTGGCGCATCTCAGCGCAGCAGCAGCGCCCACTGCTCCCGCCGCCGCTGCCGTGGACGGTGGATCAGCTTCAACGACGACCGCTTCCAGAGCCTCTGCGACGGTGAGCAGCACGCCCTCAGGCGGTGGGGCCCCGGCTACGCGCTCCGCTGCTACAGCACCTTCGGCGGGTGGATCCTACTCGAGATGGACGACCCGGCGCGCTCGTGCTTCCTACGGAACCCATTCTTCGGCAAGTCCATGAAGCTGCCGTCCCTGCCGTTCCGGCAGGAGGAGCAACGGTGCGACGACCCATACGCCCAGTACAGGAACCGCTCCGCGTTCCGCAAAGTCGTCTCGGCGGGCACGGGCAGCGGGTTTATTGTCGCCGCGCTGTTTAAGCCCAGCATGCGAGAGAACCCCAAGACCATCGGGATCTGCCTGCCGCTCATCGGCGCGTCGTGGGCGCTGCACACCCGCCGCCGCGACGACAGGCCCGACTGCGGCACGTGGTACGACGTCGCCTTCTTCCGCGGGAAGCTCTACGCGGTCGACAACCGAGGGAGCCTCTGCGCATTCGACCTCGCCACCGACGACGACCGGTGTTACAGGCGGAGCACTCGAACAACGACGACGGCGACACGTGTGCGTGGTGGGAGGTGACGTCGACCGGCGCGTTGGAGGACCAGGCGTTGTTCATGAGCCGGAGCTGCTCCGTGGCCCTCCGCGCGTCGGGTTACAGGTACGCCGGCGCGGACGTGCGAGGGGGCCGCGTGTTCTACCTGGAGGACGGAGGCTCCGCCGGCAACGTCAGGTACCTGATGTACATGGGGTTTGGGCGGAAGTGGAGCCTTCGCGTCTGCGGCGTGTACGACCTGCGGATGCGGGACCGGACGACGACGGCCGGCCGGGTCCGGCTCTGGGACGGCGGGCGGAGGTTGTGGGCGGAGGACAGAGGCGGCGGCGGCGATGGTGAACGGACGGAGTTCGTGCCGTTTGAGGTGGCTGTACTTTGGTCGAGGGCCACGTGGTTGTGCCGTTTGAGGTGGCTGTACTTTGGTCGAGGGCCACGTGGTTCTTGCCGCACGCGTGCAGGTAGGAATGCAGTGCGATCGAGGTGTCTCGTTCGGAAATTATCCTGGACAAATGTAATGCGCACTGGCACTGCTGCGTTTGGGAATTGGGAATTGGGATCAATCCGTGGAACCTTTTGCATTGGCTAGTTGCTCGATGGTTGAAAAAAAAAGTACTCATCTATCATACTTTGGCCAGAAACTGTTTATTTATATGTGCACACCTCCTAGAATCTCAGGTGACTGAAATCGCCACTCCATATAGGTTTTCTTCTCCGGTTTGAGGCTGACTCGATCGGGCTGGTGTGGCAGGCGCAGGTGTGCCTGGCGAGGGGAGACCGTGGCATGCGCAGCCGAATTGTGTGGACAATCTATTTTATATATCTTGGCTATCGGGCTTAAACAGGGGTCACACGAGGATTCATCACTAAAGTAATTGTATCGTGTTTACTAACTCGCCAATGTGCCAGCGTGGGCAGGGTAAAGGTGAATAGAACACTTTTTTTTTTAATCAAGGTGAATAGAACACTTAAGTAAATGTATCATGTTCACTACGCCAACGTGGAAAAAAAGGGTAAAGGTGATTGTAAAAAAGAAAGAAATCGTGGAAGGAAGAGGCAACGTGAAGGTGAATGGGAAAAACAGGATAAAGGTGATTTAAAAAGAAAAGAAATCGTGGAGGGAAGAGAGGGCAACGTGAAAGTGAATGGAAAAAATGGGGTAAAGGTTGAATGAAAAAAAAATCGTGGAATGAAAAATGAGGCAAAAATGTTTCCATTGCCGGGATTTGAACCCGGGTCGCCTGGGTGAAAGCCAGGTATCCTAACCGGACTAGACGACAATGGAACTGTTGTCCAGTGCGTCCACAAAATTTTGTTGAAGTATACAATATTCTTGGTTAAGGCCAATGCACCTTTCAGACTTGTCCATTATATAAAGCCATCTCATCCTCGGTTCGTGTCTCGCCGTTTCACTCGTGAAGTCTCCAAGATCTTGTTCAAGTAAAGGAACTAGTCAGATCGCATTGATAGATCTTGTTCCAAACTTCCAAGTAGTTCCATAGAGATGAAAAAAAAGGCATACCCTAAAGCCTCTTGATGCCATGTTCTCCAGATCCAATCAGCTCAGTCATCTCGGCACTATAGCCTACACAATGCATAAACACGAACTCGCCGTCTTCCAATGAGGGTCTCCAGGTCTGTATATGTTTAGATCAATAAACGTACAGGTCGCAGCATCGCAGTAATTAGAATCTGGGAGGGAAATTACACAGAATCTTTTGGTAACATTCCTGAGATATACCAATCGTTATCTGATTTCTGGCATGGGAAAATCTTGGTGTTCTTTCTGCATTTGACTTCCAAAGCAACGTGTGTGCTCATCAGGTGATCATTGCAGCCAATTAACACCGCAAGGCAAGCCTCTTGATCTGTTTCCTTGCACACAAGACACAGATCACGTGTGCAGGACTCGCCACAGTTTGACCTGAATAAACGCCTGTCAATGTTGCAACAAAACAGCAAAGCAATTTTATCAAATAAACTTGCAGTAGCATCCAGTAACTGCTGCAGCAAAGGCAGAGGTAGCAATTGGGGGAAAACATCATCTTCCATTCCAATCTCAACAAATAATTTCTACCAGTTTCGAATCAGATATCAAATCAGGCTCCGTAACCATACACTCTAGTTTCTATTACAAATATAGCACTACCAAATTAGCACACGTCACTGGAACTTCCTGACCAACTCAAGTTTGCGAGCCTGGAAGAATTTGCAACGGCCTTTTCCGCTAGATTCGATCTCCTCAGTCAAGCTTGACTTGTCGCTTGGTGCTTCCATTGTCAGTCCCATCTTCATCAACTTCATCAGACTCCCTTCGTATCATTACCATGTGGCAAAAACATAATAGCAATCAGAATCATGTTTTGCTGTTCACAAAACACACTAATGAAATTTGTTCGCAAATGGGCAAAGGTTGAAAATTTGAACACACCATGTAACCTCAACTGCATCCTTGAAGAAGGGCTTACAAGTTTCCCAACTAAAACGAACCAAAGTTGGGAAGCCAAATACTGGATGCTTGTGATCTTCTAACCATTGCTTAGTATCAGGGTCTGCACCATTAATTTGGATGTTCTTTAATGAGACAGTGATATGATTACAGTTTGATAAAATCATTTACAATAAGGAATCAGTTACCTCCTGGATATCCTGATCCAGTTTTCATGTGCAGACTCAGAGCTGTTTCATCAAACACCCAGTTTCGCAAGGCTCTGTCCCTAGTGACCTAGAGTTGCACATCACAACTTTACAACTACGCAAGCCTATAAGAAAGTACCTACACAAGGAAATTTGATTCGAGAAATTACCTTTGCAACTATACTTGCTCCACTAACAACAGGGTAAAGGCTATCAGCTTTTTTGGCAACCACAAATTTGATTCCTGGAAACTTCTCTGTCAGCTTGATTCTATACTTTTCAGGATCTCCCACTGTATACCTTTTCAAGAAGGAATATAATTACTAAAAAATGTGGTGAATAAAATAATCTTATAAGGATAGCCGCACAAGAAATCCTTTTGAATTCAAGAATATATGCTCTTACTTCTGCCAGTAGAACTCCCATGTCAAGCACTTTTCTAACAAGGCTCATGGCAGAGTTATGTGATATTTCATTCAGATTGACTTTTGACCTGAAACAATGGGTTATCAATGAAGATAACAAGGCCATGTTTGAAGTTCAATAGGTACAAAGGCCAGACATACTTTTTTTTTAACATTTTAGCAGACAAATCCTTTGGGCATATGACATCCACTTCCCACCCAATAGAGTTATTGACCTTTAAACTTTCAAATAGCTCCTCTCTTTGTTCCTCCTTCAAGGTCTTTGAATCTGTTTCAGAAGACAAGATCAATAGGCTATGCTAATTGTCAATGTGCTAATAGCAAAACTACTCTTGAACTTTTCCGTGGCCCATGGAAAGTAACAGCTTCACCCAACTCTGCAGCTGAAATATCATAAGATAGTAAGCCTAATAACTACCGAAGTACCAAGACAGATTCAAGATTTACCACTCCAAAGGTTGAATTCATGCAAATGTCAGTATGCCACAGATATACAGGAGATGTGTCAATACTCAACTCTAAGATGTCAGAAGCTGACGGTTTTAACAAACTTTGAAAAAGAAGGGTTTAGTAGTTTGCTACAAGATTAATGTACATGGAAGCACCTGCAATTCATGAGTTCATTGAAAGGGACTAGAGAGGAGAATATTTTGCAGACAAGGGAAACAAGAGGAGGATTGCAATTAGCAGCAACTAATATGGTTGCACAAAGCTCCTGACTTTGGGTCTGCAAAAAAAATTGTGATGTACCAAGAATAGCATGTTCAATGTTCCTACTTCCTACTCTTGTTTGTCCTCCACAATTTCAAAAGTTCATAAACATATGCATCAGGTCTTTAAAAGGTACCACCTCTGTTCCAAATTATAATTCGTTTGACTTTTTTTATTCCAAGTTTGGCCACTAGTCTTATTCAAAAATTTGAGCAAAATGTCACTTATTTTGTTGTGGCTTGCTTTATTAATAAAAGTTCTTCAAGAATGACTTAAATTTGACTATGTTTGCACAAATTTTTTGAATAAGACGAGTGGTCAAACTTGAGGTAAAAAAAGTCAAACGAATTATAATTTGATACGAAGGGAGTATGATAGCTTCTATCATGCCAAATCATTAATCAGCCAAAGTGCTTAACTACTGCCAGCATCCACTTAATGAATGAGGTCGCAAATGAACCAATCGAAGATTATTAAAAAAAAATGAGGCGTACCCAGTGCATAGAGCTCCCGCTCTGTGCGGGGTCTGGGGAAGGGTGTCAGTGGCAAGTCTTACCCTCGCCTATGCAATGCGAGGAGACCGTGACTCGAACCCAGGACCTTCCGGTCACCTGGTGGTAAGACTCTACCGCTTGCACCAGGCCCGCCCTTCCCCAATCAAAGATTATGTTATAACTTTGAAGCTACCCGATTTATCTCTCTGATACAGGCTCATAGTCACAGAACCTGAGAATATTGACCTGTGCATCGTGAAATAAAGTAAAACTAAAATTACATATACATTTCTGTATTCTGAGCAAATAAAGAAGACCTGCGAATTTGAGAGTGGCAAGAGTGTTATTGTAAGAGCGCGCGCAGTACATACATCCATACACCATAGGACCTGCACGAGCAGTAACACGAAGTGAGTTTTGGAAAGACTCCATTTCTGCTCAAAACCTGAAAATCAGCGTCCTGCTCATGACAATTTGCTGGGGAATGCGTTGAAACCAACTAGAATTTCAGGCAACATTGCACATTTCCATGAGTGTTCAACCTATTTCACTTTGTCCTACTGAATATTTGTGCAGTAAAACTCAAAAAGATTTGAAGCAACATGCAACATTGCATATCAACCGGTCAGAAGAGTTTACCAAGGACAGGGCCACGGCTAGCCTCGTCGATCCCCATGAGGCAGGGCTCCTTGGTAGCTCACTCCGGCACCGGTGCCGCCATTTCCACTGCGTTAGGGCAAAGCAGAGAGAGGGGAAGCAGATTGTAGGTCGCTGCTGCCGGGTTAGGGATGAAGCAGGGAGGAAAGGAAGTAGGAACGCGCTCACCTTGCTGCGAACGAGCGGGACGTGAGTGTGGCGGCGGCGGCGCGCGTCGCTGCTGACTCGCCGCTTGGGTGGCGAGAAGGTGTAGCGGGGTTCCGCGCCTGCGGTGCGGGGCTCACCGTCGGGCGTCGGCGGCGTCCGCTCCGGGGCTCGCTCCAAAAAACTTGCAGCGCTTCTGCCTCGGGCCGGGCCAACCAGGCCGGTAAGAACAGGAAGTGTTAGCCCAGCAAGGGCCCATGTACCGGTAAGAATGCATCGGTGAATGCCACGGCCCACGGAGAAGAGGAAGGAGATCCGATTTCTAGTCGGTGTCGCCGGAGACAAACGCCGTCGGTGACAACGGCGGCACGTGACTCGACCAATTAAGTCGCTGTCCAAGCCCGGCCGCGTAGACACCAACGAGAGGTGGGACGCGCACAAGATTCAGACCAACCATGCGCCCCATGCCCCGGACGGCGACGGCAACAACAGCAGTAATCCCGGCCGCGCGCCGTCGTGCGAGAGGGGGTGGACCAGCAAGAAGAATGCGACGGCGTCGTCCTCGTCGAGCAGCAGCGGAAGTAGCTCGGCGAGCCGGGCGTCGTTGGGCAAGAAGTGGGGCCGCCCTGCTGCCACTGCCAGGTGCCAGCCGTGCATCGTCCGCCGTCGAGCGCTGGGACGCGCACAAGAAGCCATGCCCACTGCAGAGCGGCGGGAGCGACGACGACGTCGACGGTCAGAGCAGCAGCACTGGTAGCAACGACATGGAGTTGGACGACGTGCCGCGGCCGGCATTCTACTCCGGACCAGGCTTCGTCGCGTCGTCGCCGGAGCCGAGCATATGCTTCCCATGCCGTCGTCCTTGATGCTACGCGTTGCATAGCTAGCTAGCTGCATGGGACGATCTAGCACTTGGGTTGCCTAGCTAGGGATCATCTCCTGAGTACGAGAAATTAGCAAAGCGGTATGACGTGAAAATGTGGCTAGTGGTGTTTGTAATGTGAGTTTTTTTTTCTGTTAAACAACTAGACTCCGAAAGTTCATACCAGTACCGTTTAGTTCCACTTCAAAATGTCAAATTTTTCAAGATTTTCCGTCACATCGAATCTTTGGACGCATGCATGAAGCATTAAATATAAATAAAAAATAAAACTAATTACACAGTTTAGACGAAATCCACGAGACGAATCTTTTAAACCTAATTAGACTATGATTGAATATTAATTGCCAAATAACAACGAAAACTGCTACCATATCATTTTAAAAAAAAAAATTCGCCATCTAAACATACCCCTAGTATCGTATAGAATTATAGATGTTAATGTAGTACTTCTTGTACTTGGTTGATCCACAAGGAACTGGTCGTATTTTCATTCAATATGTTGTACCACATCCGTAAAATGATTGATTTCTATGCCACTTACTGTCATTTATGTCGTAGTGTTTGTCTGTTTTTGTGTGAAGAGGAAACGGGTGATGGAGACAGCCGTACATCAATCATCAGTCACACTGTTGCCGACTCATCAATGGGCCCATTCAGCTGGCTGAAACTTGGCTGAAATGTTGTAAGAGAAAAATACTGTTCCAACTGAAAAAAAAAGCTGAACAAGCCAGATATGAGGTAAGCCGAACGGGCCATAAGAGCATCTCCAAAATCATTTCTAAAATTTACTCTCTAAATCATTATTTAAAGAGTCATTTGAATACCCTCTAATAATATTTTTTATCTTACGTGCACTTTAAGGAGCCATCCTCGCTCTTCATCTTTGGTCAGTGAGAAATTTAGAATAGAGAACATCTATATTTAGAGATCCATTTAAAGAGGTCGTTGGAGGGTATTGTTCCATCAAAATCTCTATTACTATAAATTAGAAAAAATATAAAAAGTTAGAGTTGCTCTAAGGACCGTATTTGTAAAATGATTAACCATGAGGAGTCCACATAAACACAGACATGACTCTTACGATCGGCGTGTTCGCTGGTTGGTTTCTAGGCTGGTTTGGACTGGCTGGTGCTGGTTTATTGTGAGAGAAAAACACTGTTGGCTGGTTGAATAAGCCTGGCTAAAACCAACAAGCGAATATGGTGAATATTGTATCATTACTACACGGATGATTTTTGTAATCGCTTTTTTTCAAGATAGTTAATCTCTAGAAATGACATGTTGCATTGTACGTTATGAACCTTCTCTAGAAATTGATCGCCCTGAAATAGGATGTATTTTTAGGAGTGATTGACTAAGTCAACTGTCAAGCAAATAAATTCATAACCTTTTCAAATTAAGTTGGATCAAAACCAACTTACTCCTCTCTGTCTCAAAATAAGTGCAAATCTTGTACTTTGACCAATATCAAGTTTAACCAAACATATATGGAAAAATATTAATATTTATGATATGAAATAAGTATTATTAGATTAATCATGCCATGTTTTCATATCAAACCTATTTGGGTGTACAAATGTTCATGCTATTTTCTATAAATCTAATCAAATTTGAATTTAGTTGACTCATCGACGTACGAGATATGCACTTATTGTTTGATTGGGTAGTATATCAAAACTGTAGATCTAAGAGAGACCTAAAACTTTGTAGTTCATGAAATTTTGCAATTGATATCATTTAGGGGCCCATATTTACATTTTAAGTTTTCAGATTTTGAAAACAAAAGTTTTAATTTTTTTAAACGACCTAGGATGGAGACACCTCCCTATACCAAAGTAGTAATGCTCGACGAGTAAAAAGCTTTGTAGTTAAATTTACTATCGAACCATCTATCAGACATGGTGAAGTCACCAAGGCTCACTCTTGAGCTCGACGTGATCAGAACAAGCACCCTTAGAAGATATGGCCCGCTCTGATCACGTCGAGCTCGAGAGTGAAGTCACCAAGGCTCACCCTCTAGGACACATCTAGCAAGGTACATTAGCAATTTGTGTCTAGGTAAAACTTTATGTCAACCATGACTATCCTACCTTGTTCACGGGATTAATTAGATGTGGTTTCTAGGTTTAGCTTCTTATGTTTTGGCTAGAGTTTACCCCATGATCACGAGCTTAGGGCCCTAGGTTGCAGTAGAGGGCTTGTTGGTGAAATTGTTTCTCCTTCCTCTTCTTCCCTACTAAGCTTGAGGATGAGAGCTCCAATCTCTAACTCTAACAATGGGGAAGGCATTGGGGCTCCTTGCAACAACAACGTGTGGTCCTTCTCGGCTTATTCCTCCCTCTCCTCCTCCTCCTTCCTTGCTCTATCTTGGTTCTTGTGAATAGAGAGGTCATGTGGTATGAGAGAGAGGGGGGAGAGTGAGGGGTGGTTGTGTTCTGTGGGAGGTAAGTTTGTGTTGACATTGTGGCTCGGTTGGTTTGGGGTGGACAACTTTCTATTTGCATGGACTGAGGTGAGTGTCATTATACGTAGAGTTTGTTTCCTATCAAATCCACCGGGCATGCCCTCTCTCTCATACCGCCCGCCCGTGGTGAGGGAGACTGCTGCCACCTCCACCACGGGGGACGGACGCCTGCTCGGCGGCTAGGAAGACCTCCGCCTCTGCCTGCCCAGCTTGCTACGGCCAGGTGTGGAGCTCGCCCACGTGCAGCTCGCTGCAGCCCGGGCGAAGCTCGCCTATGCGCACATCTCGCGCCTGCCTACCCAGTTCACCGTGGCTGGGGCGGAACTCACCCGCATGTAGCCCGCGATGACCAAGATAGAACTTCACACGTCAACGAGGATTCATTTTGCCAAGCAGCAAGGAGATGTTTGCGCTAAAACTATATGTTGCAAGTGTCTATTTCAAGTGTTTTAAATATTTCAGAGGTATGTTGCAAGTGTTTTATATCGATGTTGTATAAGTAGATCGGGATGTTGCACATGTTGCAATGATGTTTTCAAGTGTATGTCCCAATTGTTTTATATATTTTAGACGTATGTTGCAAGTGCTTCATCTGGGTGTTGCAAAAGTAGATCTAGATTGTCGCAGAACCGACCAATTTATAAGAATACAAGTACAATGGCAATCCGCAAGCGGTCGCACTGTCATACTTGAACCCATATAAACCCGGTAGTCCGTCGAGTACCACGACGGGTCTCGATAAACGATTTACAACAACCAAGATCGTACAGGATTCAACATACATGCCACATATTACATAAAGTTCACCGATACTTTTCATCATCAGAGTGCGAATAAAAGTTATTACAAAACGAGTTTGATAAATAAAGCGGAAGCAAATAAGTTCGAAAATAAAGTTGCCAACATAGTTTGATACAGTGCCATGCCAGATCACGATCCACAAAACCGGGATAGGAATTACTAAGGAAGCCTGCCCAAGGCTTACTCCTCATCCACAGCGGGATAGAAGCAACTCTTGCAATAACCATGATACACAGTGCCATCTGCAACATTGGGAAAATAAACCCTGAGTACGAGAAGGTACTCAGCTAGACTTACCCGTCATGAACCAGAAATAAAATGACTCCAAGGAGTATGCAAGGCTGTATAAGTGGACGTAACTTGACAACATTTTGCGAAAAAGGCAATTGATCCGTTGTACAATTATGATTCCTTTATCAAGTTAATTATAACTATCCATTTCTAGATTAGCAACTATCCTGTGCCCAACATGTGGTATCATTT